GTTCTCCGAGTTCGTGTCGTCTCCACGGACGACCTCAAGTCCCCTCCGGACTGGCACACTTGCACATTCTCTGTCCGCAGGTCACTTCATTCCGGTCAGCGAGGCCGAAGGAGATATCTGGCCAATGTTTACGCCTGATCTACATACACATACACACACACACACACACACAAATATATATATATGCATGCACATGCACAGACATGTTCTGGTTGGAAAGTCACCGTCTTGATTGTTTATCTTGTCACAATTGCTGATCAATTGTCAGCGTCCATTCAGAGCAGACTGGCTGGCCTGAATGTATGCCGGGCCTTGGTGACGGACTCGAAGAATCGTACGTCATCGAGCTTGCCCTACCAACCAATGGCGGAACGGTTGGTCGATTCGATAGACGTTGTTCACCATTCTTACGGAAACCACGAGCAGACACGAAATAGCCGTTTCCAATTTGCTCTGCCCGCAAAAGACCATCGTCACGCTGTCTAGTTCGAGCCCCATCACTTCTGGGCAGACAAATACAAACACACATACACACACACAACAACACATTCAGGGATTGTGGACCAGCAGACTGATTCGGTCGTGACGAAGCAAAATGGCGCACAGACCTCGACGGCCGGGCTCGAATGGCGATTATATGAATTGTGTTGAGCATATTTTGTTTAAAGTGGCGAAGGAGTGGCGGTCGAGTGTTGCCACAATCGGATGAGTAGAGCCGACGCTTATGGCGCGTTGCAGATGTCGTCAACACGGCAGCGGGACTCGAACCCTGTCACGTTGACCGCTACGCCACATTGCCACGAGGGCCATTCAAGGAAGATGGGATTGCCGATAATGCAAGCATACATTTGCTATAGCAACCGACGACGTTGCTTGTTTCGCTTTTGAATTGGTCTCTCATTTGGTGGTAGTCTCGAGGACCTACTCAAAACCGCATTGAATGGCGATTGACCGAGTCCCGGTGCCTCGAGAGGGCACCACTTGCCCGCAGCCGGCCACTTGGCGCCCAGTCCGACCTCACAACGCGCGGAAACTTGCAACTCTTGGCCGACTGGCATCTGCCAGGGCGTCTGTAGACCGCATCAGTTGCCCACCCCCACCCCCACCCCCGAGGGGAACCCGTCCTCGTGTCGGCCTTTTCTCTGCCTCAGCATATTCCGCTGGCAAGAAGAGAGAGAGAGACATAGAAAGCGAGAAAGAAAGAAAGAAAGAAAGAGACAGCCTACGGAAAGAATGAGCAGCATTCACTGGCCGCTCATTTGTCATGAGCTAAATCTCATTAAATTGTCCACAAAGAATCTTCCACAGCTTGACTTAAAAGTGGCTTGACTTGAGCACTTTCTTTCCCACACCCCTGCTCCTCCAGTTCCCCTACCTCTCACCCCCCTCACTCTCTCTTCCTGTCCCTTTGCAGGAGGATGGTACAGCAAAACTACTCTCAAGCAAACTTGCCTGCTTTCTATCTCTTTCTCTTTCTTACAGATACACTACACACACACATATATACATATACACACACACACACACACA